CACTTATAGGGGAAACAAGTTTTATTATAAATATATTAAAAATTAACACCATATTTGAAAATTTCCAAATGTTCTATTTGAAAGCCTTTTAGTTTATTTACAGAACGGCACCTGATTTTCCACGATAGCAGACACTTTCTGATCATGGTCATACTCAAAAGATCCCATTCTTCCTTTACCTCTTTCCAGAGACCTTCAATTGTCCTAGGGTGTCTCTTTCCATGTGCTCTTTTAAGGCATCCAAAAATGCAAAAATCAATCGGGGCTAAATCAGGAGATTTTACAGGGGTTCTGTTCTTTGGAATAGTGTTGATTCCTGTTCTTTGCCTTAGATCTTCCAAATAAGCTTGGGTTGAAGATGAGGTATGACTTGTGGCGTTATCATGGTGAAACCAGACTTTGTTGCTCTGTTTACCTCGGGGGTTGGGTGGAAAAGCTGCCATCTATTTAAAATATGTTGATTTTGAAACAACTAATTGGATTGCAAAAAATAATTAAATCAAATACCTAAACACTAATATAATACAATTTTTGCCATCACACACACTTTTTGCCCGTGGTTTATGTTTTACTTATGTATTGCTATTCTATGACACTTCTACTATTTATTATTGATGTACTTTCAGTATGAAGGAAATTGCACTCGGGGGAATTCTCGGGCGAAGCCGGGTCATTCTTCTAGTATCTTATAAAAATCGCTAATCAGTGTTGCTACATATTAAATCACATTAGGTTCGAAATTCATGACGATCGTCCCCCGCCGCTTTTATTTTCACTCAGATACATCTATTTACTCAATAACAGAAGATACGTTTTTTTTCCTTTTTAGAGTGCATTCAAATAAAATATTTTTTTTAACGTATTTTTATTTATTAATTATTCTCTTCATATATATACGTTTCCACAATATTTTACCTAAATAAATCAAACTTTGAAAGCATAAGTGTCATAGTTTCTACCCTTTAATATATATAAATTAGTATGAAATAAGGCTAATTAGCATATTATGGAGTCGGAAATATTAATGACAAAATATGCGCTAGTGGTGAAATTGAAAATGGACCAAGAAGTGGACCATGAGGACCAAAGTGAATGAGTAATTTTTATGTGATTATGTCTAAAAAAAAAATTCGAATGTTGGATTTTTTAAAATTTAAAACTAATAATTTGTGTGTAGATGAGTCGATAACTGTGCCAGTTAGCAAGTCTTTATGTTTTATCTGTATTAGTACGAATAATATGTGCCAAGAACCAAAACAAGAACCTCCTACACCCGATCGTCTGTTTTGAGATAGGGCGGATTATTGCCGTGTTCGAAATGGGCATAAGGCATCCGCTAACTTGATTCAGTTTTAAGAAGAATAATATATCAGAGAAAATCGCCGAATCGTGCCGATGGTCATTGCCGAAGACAAGAGCGACGACACTCCGGTCAGCTGTCTCAAGCAGATGACCTCTCGGACAATTGGGAACCGAATGTTTGAAATAGGGATACAATTTCGGGCCTCCATGGAGTGTCTGCATTCCCTAACAAAGACTAAAAACAAATTTCACGCAAAACAAAGGCTGAACTGATGTGGTAAGCTACAATTGAACATGTCATTGGCATGATTTTGCGTTGAGTAATGAATCTTGATTATTATTATTTTTTTTTTTTGCAAAGAGTCCTTCAAGACGTTATTTAAGAAAGCCGCAAAGGTTCAACCTCTGATTCCTGGTTTGGAGCAATCATCCACGTCAACAGGACAGAGTTGGCTTCCCGCCAGTATGCGGACAGGGTGGTGCAGCCTCTCGTGCTCTTTATGACCAATGTCCAAAACGGTATCTTTCAACAGTATATTGTTCGTCCTTTAACTAATGTCATCACAAGACAAGCCTTGCAGAATGTCTCAAGCAAGACCTGTCTAGCATGGTCCCCAATTGAACATGTGTGGGAGCACGAACAATACAATAATTGAATGACATGTCATCCAGGCATGGAGAGAATTACTTCGAACATTTTGATCTAATGTCTTCAAAGAGTGAATGATGCTCACATAGTGTAACATTTTCCTATTAAAAGAACCTCTTTACAGCCATGAACTTTTAAAATCATTTTCGTTTTCACTTATTTGTTCTATGTGAAGATAGCCTGTGTACATTCCTGTCAAGTTTGATTATATCCCACCAGTTCTTTCTGGGTGTATCACTTTCTATTTCGACTAGAATATCTCATTATTTATCTTTGTCTTCATTACTTCTACAACTAATAATTTTGAAATATTTTTGTTGATGCAACACTAGTTGGGAAGCTATCATTTCAGGAAGAACCCGAAACATTTGTCTAGTAATTGATAAAATGAAGACAATATGCAAATATGTAGTCCATTTTGTTATGCAATTATAAAGTGAATGTAAACGTGGGGTCCAGGAAACGGCGCGGCCTTCCTGAAGATCCTGGAACGTCTCTTCCGCGGCACCTGGACTCCTTCAGCCATCGAGTTCATGAACTTGAGCTTGTAAGTTGGCTTGAGAAGTCATACTTCCTCTGCTAGTTCATTGCAATCTAGCTCTAACTATAAAGTATTGGTATATACCTGTGCGTTCGTAGTTTTGAAGATATGCTACAATGTTTAATCAGCCTATTCAGATACGGTTTGAATTAGTAGTACGACACTTTACTTATTAATGAACTTATAGATAAATATATTAATGATGATGATCTATCTCTGTTAAGGATACTGTTATAATAATAATAAAAATTTATGACAACGATAATCCCCCTATTCGCTATAGAAAAAGAAACACAAGTCGACGACGTACAAGCTTTCGGGCAAGACGCCCTTCTTCGTCATCTTATATAAAGAAGCTCTTCTCCCCAACTTGTGTTTCTTCTTCGATAAAAATTATATCATCAAAGTAAAACTTTAATAAAATATAGAGTTTGGCTGTAGTTGTAGATCCGTTTGTAGGACGGGTATTCTCTCGTCTAGTTAACTTGTGCCATTTCACAAGTAGAAGAGGGTTTGACGGTAGAATTGATGTAAATCGATACCTAGTTGGAAAAGACAGCACGTATATCTAGAATTCTGTCGTAGGGATTCAAACTTCTATATAAAAATCTAGTATTTTGACAATCATTACTACAATTGAAATGTCATATAAAATTTGTTTGAAAATAAAATGTGCATTTATATCTAGATTTCCGTTTTTTTTTCTTTCTATATTTTGATATTCAATATTATTTGTAAAAAATTATCAAGAAAAAACACACGGAAGCTTATATAATAGTTCATCTTTGTTTGAACTCGAAAATCGTCATCATAGAAGGCGACCAATGTACAAAACATACTAAAAACTAGAAATGTTCAGATATTATAAAGATTGTCTTTATTGGACGTTTTTCGTTATAAAGAAGTTCATTATGGGAATTTGTTTCATTGTAGAGTGTTACATAATAGGTAGACTGAAGAATCGAAGACTGGATCCACGTGTGATAACCTCTGTGGTATGTGGACAGCCCAACTAAAGCCAGCTTGGTTGCCTCAATCGTGTTCATCCTTGACCGCAAGACGGAGCTGATCTCGGCGCCCCATGCCCTGGTCTACTTCGGTCTACTCATCTTCCTGGTCTACTTCAAGCTGAGCTCCATGCTGCTGGGGATCCACGACCCCTTCGTGCCCTTCGAGAACATGTTCTGTGCCATCTTCATGGGCGGGGTGTGGGACGCCCTGAGCCGCGCCATCTCGGGGGATAAACCAGGGGAGAATGCCCCCGCCCCCCGCATGGAGATGGGCTCGCGCAACGGCAAGTCCTCCGCCAGCTCGGCAACTGCAGCTGGCACCTCTGGGGACGCCGCCAAGAAGAAAGACTGAGAGGTTTGTGACCTGACACTCTTTAAATAAATGATAAGGATAATAACGTTAATTATTTTTTTAAATACCATCCACCATGCTGGCTACTGATGACGTACATACTCATTTATAACGCAGAAGAGTAAATTGCTCTAAAATCAAATATATATAAATACGTTTATTCCTTAATATTGATCAAATACCTTACTTCATAGCCAATATTTGCTAGCTGTTGGCCTACGTTAGCATGGTATAGGTTAAGTATCAATGACTTTCCAGAATGGTCATTAGTCCAATTAAATTATCAGAAGATAGATTTGTTATCATCTCACAAACTAAACTTTTTTTTCTTCACTTTCATTTATTTTTCTCACATAAAAATGTTTAACTTTTTTAGTTACATATCTATATTTTCAAAATTCATATAATTGGTTTTAAAGTGGGCTACGATATAGAATAATTGCTAAACTTTCCATTTAATTCCTACATTTGGAGGCTGTTCGGTGTTCAATGCAGGTATATGATTTGCAAGGTTTGTGGGGGCTTTCATTCATTATGTAGGTAATATATGCAGCCTTATAACCCCGATGTAGGTAATTTAGGCAACCTTGTAACCCCGAAGATACGGGAAAATGTAACCTACCACAATATCTCTCAAGTCGAATTCGATAAAGTAGGAGTATACGACATTATGTAGACGACATATAGTAATGTTTAAATACCATTAATAAACAAAACCAGCAAATTTGTATATTATGGAATGGCTATCGTGCAATAAAAGTTCACGCCATAGTTATTATTGTAATAGCAACACTGAAGATTAGGCCAGGTAGTGTCTACATAAAAACATAACGACCCTTTGACCCCATTACAGAAGGGCGTACCCTCCGGTTATTTCCATTTACATACTGCATTTAGAGAGTATAAAACTTGGTACTATATTATATTCTACATAGAGTTCATATGTTTATATTTAACATATATACAGTAGAACTACCTATTTCTAAAGGACAACATCTAGTTTCATAGCTAAAGTGTTCCTTAGAGAGAGGTGTTCTCTTACCATAGATCAGCTAATTGATAAAGATGGTCGTCTGACGATGAAAACTGCCCTATGTAGAGAAGTGTCCACTCATGGAGGATCTAACGTAGTATAAGCATATACTCAAGTTTTTATATGGCGTAACGGTTAACGTATGTGATTAAGGATCACAAGGTTCCAGGTTTGAATCCTGGTAGGCTCATTCTTTTAAATAGCTGGTAAGGCTATCTCCCGTTACGCATCTTTGTGACATCAGGGTCATCGTAATTCCGCATTTGTCGGAGCAGTACTGTATTCGACGTCGCCCTCACTAAACCTATCACAAGTCAGACAATCTCGGTGGCTTGGGGCAATTCACAATGTATACACACTAGAATGATTATCTGAGGGATAAAGTCTCTAGTATGGAAAAAAGTACTATAGAATGTACTAAGAAAGTTACAAATTTGTTTTTTGAGCTCGGTGTCTTGAATGGTTGACAATTTTTATGATATTTTTTCCCATCTGTCTATCTTCTACTTTTTGAGACAGTATATTGAGACGTTACAGAAACAATTTTCAATTGTACATAATTTCCTTTAAAATGTTATTTTAATTTTTCATGTGTTTATTTTCATTTTTATTTTCCATTCATTAAAAGTCAATGATGTACATACTAAATTGGTAAAAACTCAATAAAAACGATATGTAAAAATACACATAAACAAATGGCTTGTAAAAGAAAGCAGCATTAAATGAGTTTAGGCAAAATGTCTATTTCATTAACAAACATTTCACTTTTAAAATAATAAACTTTAAAAATAAAGTTTTACTAAACTAAAATTAGCGTTTTAAAAATAAAAACGTGGCATTTGGCGCAGTCGAAAAGGATACGGAAAAAAAAAAATGGCGGAAAATCCAAACAACCGGTTGCAAAAATTCAACGGCTCGAAGTCGGCAATTAGGCCTGAGTCATGGATCAAATTATATGATTTTGAAAATAATTCTTTAAAGGAAGATGAAAAAATCAAAAATCTTATGTACTACTTGACAGATTCAGCACTTGAATGGTATGCAGATGAGATTATTTCAAATCCTGCAATAAAAAGATGGGAAGTTGTAAAGGAAAAGTTGATTCAAAGATTTGGTTCATACAACGCAAATCCAATTGTCTCAGCATCACATCGAAGATTAAAACGAGAAGAATCAATAGAAAATTATTTTCAAGATAAAATTCGCCTGTTAAATCAAACCCATCTAACGAAGGAGGAAAAAATACATTTATTAACAGACGGACTTCCAAATGATTGGAAAGATTTAATTGTGGCTGCACAGCCAACTGACACCACGAAATGGTTCCATATCGCAGCTTCAATTGAACAAAATAGGGCTTCAATTCAGTTTAAGCCTAAAAACAAAATACATCTCGCGACAAAAAATAATGATAATAGAAAAAATGTTTGCCCATTCTGGTGTCCAATATGTTCGAAAAAGGGAATAAAAATTAAACATTGGGTCACAGATTGTGAGGATTATGATCCTAATTATAAAAAGGATAGGCCTAATCAAAACACTTCAGTGAAACAAGTATGCGGAGCCCCGGAATTGTTGAATGTAAGTACTTTGACAAATACCCCTACACAAGGAGCTTTCAAGCTTATCAACATAAGTGTTGAAGTAAATGGAATTCCTGCGCAAGCATTTGTGGATACTGGAGCAACAGTATCAATAATCAATTGGCGATTGTTCAAGCGAACCCGTCTTCAACTTCAACCAAATTCAAACATTCACATCAGCCAAGCGGATGGTGTTACCAGGACATGTGGAAGCCTTCAGACCAAGGTAAGAATAGATAAACTAATTAAACCTGTAACTCTCCATGTAATGAAGAACTTTAAATATCCACTCTTGATCGGATTAGATGTTGCATCTCTTTTTAATCTTTTAATAGATGTCAGAGACAAAACAATTTACACCAAAATTGATGGATTACAAAATCCAATTCTTGTAAATCATCTAGAAGAGATAAGAGAACATGAATTAAAAAAATTACTTGAACACAATAGGAATGTATTTTGTCAGCATGCTATTGATTTGGGAAAAGTAGCTATACAACATAAGATCATCACGAAAAGTGAACAACCAATTTCTCTTAGACCCTATCGTCGTCCTCTAAAAGAGTATGAAGAGATAGCTGAACAAGTTAAAGAACTTCTCGAACACAAGTTAATAAGAATTTCAGATTCTCCTTGGGCATTTCCTGTTGTTATGGTTCCCAAGAAGGATGGAAATAAAAGGATGTGCATTGATTACAGACGTCTTAATGAGATCACACTGGATGACAGGCAACCCCTACCTCACATACAGGACATGTTTGATCGATTGCATGGATCCAGATTCTTCTCTACCCTTGATGTTGCATGGGGTTATTGGCAGATCGAAATGGACCCGCAATCTATTCAAAAAACTGCATTCGTCACAAACGATGGTCATTATGAGTTTTTAGTGATGCCCTTTGGTTTAAAAAATGCTGCTTCAACGTTTCAAAGGATAATCCAACATATTCTAGGTGAATTATTATGGAAAGGAACTTGCTCTTTCCAAGATGACATATTGGTGTACACGAAAACATGGCAAGAGCACATAGAGCTTCTTAGTAAAGGTTTTGACAAATTAAGACAGTACAACATGAAATTAAAATTGTCGAAATGTATTTTTGGAAGAACTGAAGTAAAATACCTCGGACATATCATCAGTCACAATCAATTAAAACCTGATCCAGGAAAAGTAAAATCTATTCAAGACTTTCCAAGACCTGATACTGTCAAGAAAGTTCGTCAGTTCATGGGATTGGCAAATTATTACAGAAAATTTGTGAAGGACTTTTCTAAAATTTCATTCCCCTTGGTTCGACTCACTCGGAAGAATCAGCCCTTCATCTGGAATGAGGAAGTAGAGGAGTCATTCGCTAAACTTAAAATGGCACTATCTACAAAACCTGTCCTTGCTATTTACAACCCGGACTACCCCTCTAAAGTTTATACAGATGCCTCCAAATATGGAATTGGAGCAATCCTAACACAAATTGGTCCAGACAATGAGGAACATGTAATTGCTTATTACTCCAAAACACTGCAACCACACCAAGAGAATTATTCTGCTTATGAGATGGAATGCCTAGCCGTAATACAAGCAACTGATCACTTTCATGTGTACATAGAAAACCAACCATTTGAAATCATCACTGATCATGCGGCGCTCCAATGGCTTTTCACCATGAAGAAACCGAAACCTAAGTATTTTAGATGGATTCTTAGTTTATCCTCGAAATCATGTAACATCGTTCATCGTTCTGGAAAGCAACAAACTCATGTTGACGCCTTATCAAGACTCCCAGTTGTTAACATTGCAACTCAAGAACTTCAAGAACACCAACAAAATTCAGATTTGAGTTTCTTGAAAAATTCCCACACTCACGACGGTGTGGTAATGATCAAACAAAAAGGAGTTTTTAAAGCAGTTGTCCCAAACTCGCTTACCAAAAAAATATTGGAAGAATATCACGATTCATTGAGTCACCCATCAATAACCAAAACATGCAAACTTATAACTCAATGTTATTGGTGGAAAGGAATAACAACTGATATCAAGAATTATGTTCGATCTTGTAAATCTTGTCAACTAGTGAAGGTCAGACATGAACCAACTTTAGGAGAAATGATCACTCCAACGTCAAATATCCAACCATTACAAATGATCGGTTGTGACACTATTGTACTGGGAACAGCAGCAGCTAACACAAAGCATAAATTCATTCAAGTTTTTGTTGATCACGCAACTCGTTATCTATGGGCATATCCCACAATAACAAACACTGCTCAAGCTGTCACTCAATGTCTTGATAAGATAATCAAATCTGTTAATTCGATCAATACTATCTTAACAGATAATGGCAAAAATTTTATATCAAAAGAGTTCAACAAATTTCTTTCTTTACAAGGAATTAAACACACATATACTTCGCCTTATCATCCTCAGTGCAATGGCATTTGTGAGAAATTAAATGATACGATAATGACAAAACTGAGAATAGCTGTTCTAGAGAAACCTAGATGTAAATGGAGCACATTGTTACCGCAAGTTGTCAAAAATTATAATTCCACACCACATGACGTGACTGGTTTTTCACCGCTTTTCTTAATGTATGGAATCGGTAATGTACCCGAATTTGCCGACCAAACTCCAATTACAATTGAAGAAGCCAGGAAGAAAGCTAGCCTGCGGACAGAACAAAGTAGAAGTAAGTGGAAGATTAAACACGATAGCCATCACCCCAAGTATGTCTTTAAAGAAGGAGACTTAGTCATAAGAAAAATTGCCTTCAACGACCCTCGTCTCATCAAGACATCACCAAAATATGAAGGACCATTTGTCATTCAAAAAAAGATATCTGATGTAACCTACGATATCTCTCTGAAAGGCCAAAAGCAAGCAAGACGCGTTCACATATCTCAACTTCGACCATTTATTACCCGAGAATAAATGCTTCAAGAAGGGGAATATGAGACGTTACAGAAACAATTTTCAATTGTACATAATTTCCTTTAAAATGTTATTTTAATTTTTCATGTGTTTATTTTCATTTTTATTTTCCATTCATTAAAAGTCAATGATGTACATACTAAATTGGTAAAAACTCAATAAAAACGATATGTAAAAATACACATAAACAAATGGCTTGTAAAAGAAAGCAGCATTAAATGAGTTTAGGCAAAATGTCTATTTCATTAACAAACATTTCACTTTTAAAATAATAAACTTTAAAAATAAAGTTTTACTAAACTAAAATTAGCGTTTTAAAAATAAAAACGTGGCATTATTGACTGCTTCTAGTACAGCGTCTTTGTAAATATATTCATTGTCTTTCTTATTGTATCTTTTTTCCCGAAACTTTTCTATAATAACTACAATGCAAACTTTAAAACCCTCTCTTTTTTTTTCATGATATCATTAATATCAATGCGTTCATTATGCATGCGTTCATAGTAGATTGTCTCCAAACCAACTTACATGAACTAGATACAGTTTTGAGATTTAAAAAAGAGCTTTCCTATAAAGCCTCTATGAGATAGATATTTATTAACTATCTCCGTGGTGTGTGTCCCTCCTCTTTATTCTTCTTGTGAGCGCTAGTTCAGTTGAACAGAGGGGGGAGGCGAAGGG